CCATTGATATAAATGTACAAAATACAAATAGAATGAAAATATATTCCATTAGTTGTTATTAGCACAATTAAGTCATTATGGCAAGGTTTCTAAAGGAACTAAAGGGGGTAAGTGAGTTTAGGTGGTTAGTGATGTTTACCTTCATGAACCATGAAGAGAGAAAAAAAAAAAAAAAAAAAAAAATATATATATATATATATACTGTATGTAATAGTAAGTAAATAAATAAAAGGGAATCCCTAAATGTAAATAGGAAATTACGTGAATTTGTGCATTTTAATGTTTGAAAGACAAAAACCTTCCAAAGACAAACGCTTGTGTGAATAATATGTAATCATGTAATCAATAAAATCCAGATTATATGTAATCAGTTACTACCCAGCGCTGTATATAATGCATTATAGAAGTATTTTTAATGGATTAATTATGCGTTCTCAAAGCATTGCATGACCTCATGAATAAACTAGTGATAATACATTATAATACATATCTAAACAACCCATTTTGGATGTAACAAGGGATCTGCAAAAGTTATAATTTTAATTGTTTATATGAAGATATAATGCATCATAACGCACGTTATGAATCCCTTAATAATGCATTATACGCAAAGGCTTCAAGTAAAGTGAAACCAAATATTGGACATGAAAACGCTTTAATGTCTCTATAAAATGTCAATTGGAATAATACTAATAAAAACATCTTTGTTTAAAACTTTTTATCACACTTTTTTCTAGGCAGAGCTGAATGTGTGATCGGTCAAAACTGTTTATGGCTGACAAAACTGAAGAGTTACTATTGCGCTCGGTTTCTGGGTTTAACTGCACAACAATCATTTAAAACATGTGACTGGAATGTGAATGGCCCGGTCTAAAATGACAGTCAACAACAACTCATTTTACTGACTTGTCTCTTAATTGGGTCAGAAAATTCCTGGAACATGTCTGATAATTGTGCAATTTTGTTTTGCATTCAAAATCATTGGCCTGTAAGACACTGAAGACGTGAAAGTGAACAATTAAGGCTTGACGTAAAGGAAACTGAAATGTTCATAAATGCTTATTCCTTTGAAATATACAGGTATTTACACTCCCTAAGGTTACACTCCCTAAGGTCGCAAAACTCTGGACTTTTGGTAGTACCTAGGATAGCAAAGTCCACTAAAGGAGGTAGAGCTTTTTCGCATTTGGCTCCCAAACTCTGGAATAGCCTTCCTGATAACGTTCGGGGTTCAGACACACTCTCTCTGTTTAAATCTAGATTAATGTACAAATAAACTTGAATTGAATTGAATTTACAGACATATTTGACATGAAAAAGAGGTTCTGGAACTTCCGTGTGTCGGACATTCATTCTTTCACAAACGTTCTGTTTGCAAGAACGCAGAAACATGTTTTGTGTGCTTTAAAGCTTTTACGGTTCACTGACAAATAGTGTGCAAACAGCATTTAAAGCCGCACCCTTAGAAAGTAAAAAACAAGAAAATGAAACCACGTGCAAATTAGCATGCTTGGTTTTGCTTATCGAAATACCGGTCAATCAGTCCGACGAATCGCCACAAACATCACACCTTCTTCTTGTAAATGAATAAGGAAGCTGATTCAAGAAAAAATGCTGTTGAACAAAAATCAAATGCCATCTTCAATCTGAGCGGACACCCGTTTATTATTGAAAACTTAAATAATCTTACAATAAAAGAGCAAATTGAATTGGTAGTTGAAATGTGTATAATCAGAGACACTTTGAAACACAATAGTATAACCAACCATCACCATGCATGAACAAATCAAATATTGTTTATTAAATAAAAAGCCTGTACAGTAAAGACTCATCAGTGAGTAGCCTAATACAGTCACAGTGAAGCGTCTGCGTAAGTTTCCAACGTCATGATTTCACACAATAGCAGTTTTTAATAACTGCTGGAAATACTGGTATAGTTGGTTAAACCACATCGCACAACATTATAAACCCGCCCGTCTCCGCCTGACTAACCGGAACACACAACATGTTATTTCTAGGAAATGCAACACCCTACATTCCTTTAGAAACTGAAAAAGAGTGACATAATCCAAAAGAAAAGAATAAAATAAAAGAGAGCGAGAGAGAGAGAGAGAGAGTAAACTATTCAATGCAAACTATTTTTAACTTGTCACAGTGTCTTAAAAACACAGAAAAACAGCGAGACAAAGGCCACAAACGTCAGTCTCCATGTGTACATGAACCACAAGACCACAGAAACACAGAAACACAATCCTACATTTAGATCAGGCTGACCGAACGAACCGCTGCGGACTGATGTTCTATGACGGGGAGTAAAACTAACATGCACTGCATATTTAGTAATATCATCGATTTGAACAGAATAAAACTAAACTGAATGATGACACTGTTGTCTTCTGTGGAGCTGCTGAAACTGAATTTTGTTTCATAATTTAAGACATTTGCAACATTAATACTGTTATGTTGCTGTTTATTAATAATAAATGTGACTTGACTTCTAAAGACGCGTTTTGTCTAGTCAGTGACTTCTTCGTCTTGTACAATTATTCATTTCCGGGGATTTTCTCAGCAAGTAACTTATAAAAAGGATTATTAAAATGCACTGCATATTTAGTAATATCATCGATTTGAACAGAATAAAACTAAACTGAATGATGACACTGTTGTCTTCTGTGGAGCTGCTGAAACTGAATTTTGTTTCATAATTTAAGACATTTGCAACATTAATACTGTTATGTTGCTGTTTATTAATAATAAATGTGACTTGACTTCTAAAGACGCGTTTTGTCTAGTCAGTGACTTCTTCGTCTTGTACAATTATTCATTTCCGGGGATTTTCTCAGCAAGTATGTGTGATGGATTGGTGATTATATTTAGTTCAGTCGCATGTAATTAACCCAGGGTTTTTTTTTGTTTGTTTTTTGGGTTAATAATCCACTGACCGCCTACTATTGATGTTGAAGTTGAAGTTTTTACTCAGTGTTCGAGTCTAGTGGTGACAGAAAGAACAATGGCACTAGCTTTTAACTGTGTGATTGATGAATTGATTGTCCAGAAATCACAAACGACTGCGATTGGGCTTCCTGATCAGCGCTGAGAAAAGGAACTCGAGGCTCTGCTGTTTGTGCGCTATTTTAACAACATATACACGAGCTGAAATGCAACACAGACCCATAATACCTGATCAATTAAGAGATTTAAAGGCAAGGGAATAATAAATAAGAGAATGCAAAATTCTATTATAGCCCAGGCTATAAAAAAGTGATTTGAATCATATGAAAAACAAATTCTGATAAAATAAAATGGCACTACGTTATTCATTGCATAGATATAAAAACAAGCTGTCTTGTTATTTAGCAGAAACTTTTGACCAAAAAAATAAGCATTTCACTAGCATTGCACTAAACTACTGTCTAATGACCTTTTGCAAACAGCAGAAATATTTATATTTATGATGTATAATATAAATACATATTTATTTGTATTTGATACTTATTATTTTATATTTATTTACATTTATGCATTTAACAAATGTTGTTATCCAAAGTAATTTAACTGAAAATACAAAATAAATATATTATTTTCACTAATTAGAACTATTATTTTATATTACCGTCTACTGTCTAATGACTTTTGGCAAATGGAGGAAATATTTATAATATATATTATAAACGCATATTTTTGACATTTTATTGGATAGTTATTTCATATGAATTTGCATTTATGTATTTAGCAGGCACTTTTATCAAAAGCGACTTACAAACTGATTTATTTTAAAAGACAAAATAAAAATAATTTTATTTATTAAAATAAAATATATATTTTTTAATTGCCGTCTACCATCTAATTACCTTTGGCAAATGAAGGAAATATTTATATTTATATTATACAATATAAATACATATTTAATTTTTACTTGATAGCTATTATTACATGTATGCATTTAGCATTTAGCAGATGCTTTTAACTAAAGTGACTTTTTAAACAAATTAAATTTGTACAATTATTTGTAAATAATAATAAATAAAAATATATATTTTTAGTTAAAATTTTATTTTAATTACTGTCTACCATCTTATGACCTTTGGCAAAAAGAGGAAATATTTATATTTATAATATATATTATACACACACACACACACATACATACATATATGCATACATACACTGCCGCTCAAAAGTTTGGGATCAGTAAGACTTGTAATGTTTTTAAAGAAGTCTCTTCTGCTCATCAAGGCTGAATTTATTTGATCAAAAATACAGAAAAAAACAGTAATCTTGAAAAATGTTTTTACAATATAAAATAATGGTTTGTATTTTAATATACTTTAAAATATAATGTATTTCTGTGATGCAAAGCTGAATTTCCATCAGCCATTTCTCCAGTATAAAGTGTCACATGATCCTTCAGAAATCATTGTAATATGCTGATTTATTATTAGAATTATCAGTGTTGGCAACAGTTGTGCTGACAAATATTATTTTTGGAAACTGCGATACTTTTTCAGGATTCTTTGATGAATAAAAAGTTAAAAAGAACAGCATTTATTCAAAATATAAATCTTTTCTAACAATATAAATATTTTATATCACTTCCTATCAATTTAACATCCTTGCTGAATAAAAGTTTTAATTTATTTAAAAAAAAGAAAGAATAAAAATGTACTGACCCCAAACTTTTGACCTGTAGTGTATATTGTTAGAAAATATTTCTATTTTAAATAAATGCTCTTCTTTTTAACTTTTTATTCATCAAAGAATCCTGAAAAAAAGTATCACAGGTTCCAAAAAGAATATTAAGCAGCAAAGAGTTTCCAGCACTGATAATAAATTAGCATATTATTATGATTTCTGAAGATCATGTGACACTGAAGACTGGAGTAATGATGCTAAAAATACAGCTGCGCATCACAGAAATAAATTAGATTTTAAAGTATATTAAAAATAGAAAAACTTTATTTTACATCATAATAATTCGCAATATTAATTTTTTTCCTGTATTTTGATCAAATAATTGCAGCCTTGATGAGCAGAAGAGACTTGTTGCTCAGGATAATGATCAATGCTTATTCTTCTAGCTGGACTCTTTTTTTGGGTCTGATTTATTTCCTGCCTCTTCATCCCCATCACCTTCATCCTCCTCCTCCTCCATCTCAACCCCGTCCATGGTTTTCTGCAGCTGTAGTTGGATTCTCTTCAGCTCCTGCAGTCCGTCCTGCAGCTCCTTGCAAACCTCTCTGATCTTGGCGGCGAACTCTGTCTTGGCGCCCTTGCGCAGCTCCAGCGAGCCCTTGGCGAGGAAGAAGACGTCGAGGGCGAGGAAGAGGCCGGACATGACGCCGCTGGTGACGCTGATGACCTGCGCGGCTTTGGCGGCTCCTCCGGCCACGCTGAGCACCTGGACGGTGTTGATGAGGCTGTCGGTGTTCACCAGCAGCGCTTTCCCGGCCCGGCCGCCCTCCTTCAGCACGTGCTTCACGTTCTGGTTCAGAGCCCGTCTGGAGATGCTGTCCACATACTGCTCGAAGTGCCACTCCTCCAGAGTCTCCATCCCGGCCTACAGCGATGCAAACCGTTTGAGGAGAGACAAGATAGTTAAAGGTTTAGTTCACCCAAAAATGAAAATTAGCCCATGAATTACTCACCCTCAAGGCATCTTCTTTTGGACTGACGAACTGCCATTAAACAGCTTGGAAGATCAAAGACAATTTTTAATATAACTCCGACTGGATTCATCTGAAAGAAGGAAGTCATATACACCTAGGATGGCTTGAGGGTGAGTAAATAATGGGCTAATTTTCATTTTTGGGTGAACTATCCCTTTAAAAATCCTATTAATTTTCTCCACAGGGGAACTGATTTTTAACGGTACCTTATAAACCATTAAAGACAAACCTACTGTAAGCTACGAGGTTGTTAATCGATGATATATGCTTTAGTCAAAGCCATCAGTCCGCATTATTTTTAAAATAATCATTTAACAGTGGAATTGTTGGTGAAAACCTACATTACCCGTGATTCTGCAAACAAAACTCGACTAAACAGAAAACTGCAAAGCAAACTGGCCCAAAATAACTCCGTACAGTACAGTAAATCTCCCTGTGCTTTCAAGCTACGTAAATATTTCTATATATCTCAGCGTATATATGTATATGTCATTTTAACTGCTCCATCATTCAAATATAATAATAATAAAAGAAGAAAAAAAACTATATAAACATATGAAAAGAAATAAAAGCAAAAAAAAAAAGAGGCAAAACCAAGCAACAAAAATACTTTAACATGAAAATATATAAATAAATAAAATAATAATATTAATAATATAAAAATAATAAAAACTATTATTTTGTATTAATCATTATAAAATATACTATTTATAATTAATTTACAGATATACTGTTAAAATAATACCATCTATCCTTCTTCTGATATAATAGTAAATGTATATATAAAGCAGATGTAAAAGAAATAAGGACTAACAAAACTAAAATAAAAATAAAATATACAAATAAAAGCTAACCAATTAAAAAAAATGACAAAACGCTTCAAACTAAAAAACTTTATCTAAAATTTTAATAAAAACAAAACATGAAAATAAAATGGTATAAAATAAATAGTAATGAAAACTATAAAAGTCTATTAATGACAGTAAAAGAGACAGAATTGTACAGAATATAGTAAAGAGTCATCAATCAATAAATAAATGTGCCTCACCTGGAGGAAGTCCAAGCATTCTTTAATAACTTTAACTTCATGCTGATAATCTTGGATCATCTTCTCCACCTTCTTCCTGTCCGTGTTGGAGTGAACCGTATCGGTGATGTTTGCCGACGCTGACGTCACTCCGCCGGCGGTCGCGACCCCGATGCCCACCGCCGTCACGATGAGGGACGTCCCGAAGGTGAAGGGCGCCAGAACCAGGCCGGTGATGGTGGTGATGCTGCCGGCGACGCTGGCCACCCCGCCGCCCACGCTCGCGGTCACCGTCTTCCTGTGGAAACTGTCGGCGGCGTCCGCTAGCGACAGCAGCTCCCGTATGCGCCGCTGCAGCGACGGCTCGCGCTGAGTCAGCAGGTGAACGAATAACTTGGCGGCCATGAAAACCCGGTTAGCGGCGGCTTCGATCGCTCTGAGAGCGAGAAGGAAACAAAAAGTTATTTTACGTCACACTGGTTTTGATTGTACGCAGATATGCTGCAATACAAAGGTAAAGTTTGTGTAGAGTCAATGCAGCCTTTCACAAATGTCACAGAAACCTTAATCTGCACCAGCAAATTACCACTTGTGAATAATATATGTAATTAGTTTTTATCTTTATATTTTCTGTTTTCATTTTAATTGCACTTAAGGATTTAGTTTTGTGTAATGCTTTTAAAAATTTTATTTCAGATATAGTTTAGTTATTTTAGTAGCTAGGCCTACTTCAACTAAATGAAAATGAGTTATGTTGCTTTGGCAACTAGCTAAAATAAAAATGTTTATTAACCCTCTGGTGCTGCTTGTGTGACTGTCAAATGATTTTTTTTTTCATGTACTATATTTTAGTGTATATATATATATATATATATATATATGAAAAAAAATGTTGTTCCAAATCTTCATGAATTTCTTTCTTATGTTGAACATAAAAGAAAAATGCTGGTAATCAGACAGTTTATGGTCCCCATTGACTTCCATAGTATTCCATAACAATTGTTTGGTTCTTCAAAATATCTTCTTTTGTGTTCAGCATTAGAAAGAAACTTATACAGGTTTGGAACGACATGAGGGTGAGTAAATTACAACATTTTTGGGTGAACTATTTCTTTAAGTTTGGTCCCTTTTTAAATACTTTTTTGGCAGATTATTGTTTAAGTGAAATACGTTTCAAAAAATGTGATATAAAAAAAATGTAGAAGTGTAAGTTTATTGTTATGGAAAATGCTCAAACATACAATTTTCAAATTTTACTATGTTGTATATTGTTTTTGATATAGTGAATTCTTTTCCATTTTGCTTTCCTAATGGTTTCCATTTTTTTGATGCTTTTGTGCCTTATAAGCTTAAAAAAAAATTGTTCTGATATATATATATATATATATATATATATATATTGCAAGATGTGTTTTACTCTGAAACTGTTTTAAAATCAAAGCCATCAATCTAAAGAAGTTGTGTTCCAAATTTTAAGTTGATATCTCAAAAATGTAGCTGTCAGTAAGATTTTGCTTGGGTGCAGTACCAAACGTTTCCGTTAGGTGAAATTTGCTTCCCATTCATTTCCAATGTGGTCATTTTTGACCACAAACAGTACAAGTGTGAATTTTTTTAGGATCATTTAACCTTTTCAAATCATGTCTATAATATATACATATATATATTTATTTTATTTTTTTCCCCACAAAGAAAGTGCCAAAAACTACCCAGTTTTGTACCACTGGTTTAAATAAAATATATTGTACTAACACTTCAAGAAGGGCCTTTTTTTACTAGGAAAATGTAGATCTTTCTCACCGTTCTCCATCTTTCTCATTAAATTGCTTTGACTCGTTCCATTCACTCCAACCTGAGAAATAAAACAAAAACCCATCTCTGCAAACTCAAATACAAAAGCGCATTTGAGATCACGACTCTTAACTTAGGAAATACCTTCCACGGTTCTCCACCAGGCCAGCAGACCATCTTCATCCTGTGAATGTCAGACGCAACTCAGGTTTCTGACACCAAACAGACTATGTGCATATAAAAAAATGTGTGAATTACTAGCAATCAAGGACTAAAGTGAAATGTTAACACACATCTTCATTGTCCAGATGGTTTCCTTCACCGGAGACGGCGACATCTGTTTCTGCTGTTTGATCTATCTGTAAAATAAAACAAACAAAATGCAATTATCGATATAGTGATGGATTTCTGATTCTCAGTCTTGCAAAACAATTCTCAATGCATCAAGTTTCAAGTATGGAAGTTGTGAATTTTTCTCAAGAGTTCTTGGATGTAAATGAAGGCTTTAACAGTCCATCGAAGCTCCAGCTCAAATGTCATCTGTATGTTAGTCATATTTCCAAAATAATCTGTACCTGATATTTTGAAAATAATATGCTTTTCAAATAAACAAAATTATTACGATTCTGATGATGAATTTTCATGCATTCCCAGTTTTATTGAGATATATTCATAACCTAATACCAGCAATCAGAGTGATCATTAAAGTGCAAAGTGATCATATACTGCAAAATAGCAAATAATAAACATATTAAGGAGATTTTACAACTTGTTTTCATAAACAATATCTTGAATAGAAGGCACTTTGTTTTTTGTACTAGCTATGCAGTGTTGTGGGTAATGCATCACAAGTAACATGAGTTACGTAATCAGATTTCTTTATTTTTTTTCAAGTAACTAGTAATGTAACACATTACTTTTTAGTTTACAAGAAAATATCTACTAGTTACTTTATCAAATAGGTCACACCAGTTACTTTGTTTTCCATGTAATGACTGACAAGCTCTCCTGTCTGCATGTTGAGAGGAATCTGTGTGAACATGATGTTACTCTAGTTCTAGACTAACATGCATTACTCATCTCACTTGCACAAAAACAGATTTAGTATTCCTCAAAATGAATAAAAACTGTGAAATGCAAACTCAGAATATGACGCAAATCTGCAATAATAAAATCTGTTAAATTACACAGATATCATTTATGCATTTAATCCCATTTTATTAACCAATGTCTCTGCAAAAGTAACTCAAAAGTAACTTTACTTACCTTTTTATGGAAAGTACCTTCCATAAAAAGCAACTAAGTCATGCAATTAAAGTATAAAAAAGCCAGTGCCACAAGACGAAATGCACTTCTCTGAAAACAAAGACTTAGATGTATAGCTTTTTAATGCTTTAAGTTATTTCAGTAATTGTATATTTACTGTATATTATTTTTAGTTATTTTATATATATTTTTTTATTATATCTTAGTTAATTTTTTTAATACCATTTTTAAACATTTTAAAGGAAACTTCTCAGTTAAATACACAATGTTATCTGTAGCCTGCATAGTAATTATTTTTTTTTTTTTTATATATAGATTTATATTTAGATTAAGATTTAATTTTTATTTTAGGTTTAGAACAAACAAACAAAAGCAAAACAAATGCATATGCATTTGCTGACAGTGAATATGCACCGTAAACATGTCAACATTTGCACTTAAAAGCAATGGAAATCACTGAGGTAACGATGCCCACAGCTTACGGCATGCATCTGTTAACACACACAGTCATCCAGACTTGTGTCTACACTGTATATTTAACATGTAATATTCTTTTAATTGCATGTAATTAAACAAGCATGCAGACAAACAGACTGAGTGCTATAATCTTGTTTTGTATTCCTAAAATTCCTGCCTTCTGTAGTCATCAGCAGAGACAATAAATGACTGATGAAATCAAACCACTTATGAAGTATACAGTATAAACTATTAATACAACTGTCTGAGATGCCAGAGGAATAAAATATCACAAGCACAGCTGGTCAGACTGGTTTTCCAGTAATTAATCTGGAAATCACATCTCTTAGAGTACGCCTATTGTATATTGTTAAAGTAGAAGTGTTCATAACTGACGTCAAACCCTGAAATAATTCAAGATGACATGCTCTCGTACCTGAGCTGTGGATTTCAGATGGTCTCGCATCCCGCCGTGATCCTGAAACACAAAACACACTTACAGAAGTCAGAAAACATTAACAATGCGTGAATTAAAACAGTCCTGCTGCTACTTGAGATAAAGATGTTAATGATCGCATGTGGCGTTAATGAGATGATGAGTGTTTCGTTAATGACGCAGTCGTCTCGCCGTGTTTACCTGCGTTTTCTCATCTGCGGGAGCTGCTGCAGAGACAATCAGAGGCTCACTGATCTTGTTCTACAGAAAGACATGACAGAGATGCTGAAACAGACAAACATTTACTGCTGAGCTCCGTAAACATCGCAAACGGATTGTGCTGATTCCTTAAAGAGACTCTGTGTGTGTGTGTGTGTGTGTGTGAGCAGGGCCAGATTTACCTCTTTTTGTGACACAGGCAAAACAAATTTTTGGGCCCCCTTCCCTATTAATATAATAGGCCTAATATTACCACCCAAGCAAACAAAAATATTTCTTAATCAGTGGAAACCGTTACAGTGTTTTCTATCGCAATAAGCGCTTGCGTTCAGTCAATAAAAATCGAATGTAGTTCTTAATTTGTTTGAGAATTCAAACAAATTGCATTTCATTCCATTAATAGGTGCGACGACGTGGCCACATAACCACTGCATGTGTGTGTGTGTGTGTGTGTGTGAGTAAGTGTGAGTGTGTGTGTGTGCACGTGTGAGTGTGAGTGTGTGTGTGAGAGAGTGAGTGTGTGTGTGTGTGAGAGAGTGTGA